CACAAAGGAAGATGGGCCATAATGTTGTATTTATGTGAAATATTAGCCAGCAGTATGACCTTGGACTGTCTAATTTATCTAAGACTCAATGTCATCTGTCAAAGGAGGTTAGAGCAACTGTCTTATATTAATGTAAGGATTAAATGAGATAATATGTGTAAAGCACTTAGCACTATTCTTGATAGGAAGTGATCAATAAATAAGTGCTGTTTGATCATCATCATCCTATTATTATTTAATGGCATAAAGATATTGAAGATTCATACCCAACATATTTGCCTTCATGAAGAAATGCACAATCCATAATGTAAACATCAACAAAAATCTTTAAATCATTTAATATTCTTAGGGAGTTTTTCCTTTGAACATAGATGGGGGGACTTAGTAGAGTTTCAATGTTCAGAATTTAGAATCTGTTCTGAGTCTTTTTTGGCATTCCCAGCCTTGGACCTCTATCATGTTACTTCTCCACCACAGAAGCGCATACTAGGCTTTGTTTTTCTCTCCAAATATCCCATAGCTATAATTTTGTTCATTCATGCTCTATAAATAATAATCCCAGACTTGCATAGCTAGCGCTTTTCTAGCCCCAAGGGCTCTACAAAATGGACTTGGACCTTCATGTATAATGCATAGTCTGCTGGGCTGTGGAAGGTGATAAGATGGTCTGTGGTACTGAGATTGAAAGAACAGGGTGGGAGAGTCAGGCTCCTAATTGTCACCTCAGTCCAAGGGGCTGTGCCTGAACAGAGGAATGAGCACCCCTGGGGCCCCCTTTCCTCAGAGCCTGGTCCAAGTCACAGAGTCCTGATCAGCTGGGTGGGATGAGGCAAATCCAAGGAAGAAAGGGGGGATGCGCTCCCTCCTTAGTGCTAGATCACAGGGCCTCTAATTGTCCCAACTTGTACCTGGCAAGGATCTTATTTGCAAGTGATAGGCTCCAACTCCAATAACATAGGAAGGAAGAACATTACTGGAGGGAGTTCTTCGGTAGCTCCCACTCACGTGAGAAGGCTGGAGGAGCAGGCTTGGAGATGGAGTGAAAGGAGGGTTAGGCAGCGGGAAACCACAAGCCAGTTCAGTGAGGACACCACGGCTGCTGTCGCCAGCCACCAGACCCCACTGAGGCTGGCCCGAGTTAGTGGGCCTGCTACAGGTGTCATGGCCATGCACTTTTGGGAACTTCACATTCGTCCCCCAGCTGCCACTGTCCACCTGTAAGTGGTTTCCCCACCTCTGCTTCTTGAAGTGCAGCAGCCCCTAAACTGGAGCAGCTTTGGGCTGCCATGCTAGGCCAGCCTGGTGGAAGAGAAAGCTATTCCCCAAAGGACTGAATCTCAGAACAGAGACCCCACCCCTATGACAGTGGATTAAATACCCTTTCCTCTGACATGGGCAAATCAACATTCCCATCCCTGGGAGATGCAGTGAGGGGAAGCTGGAGGGGAGGGTGGGGTTGGAGAACACCAGCAGAGAACATGGTGTGACCCTGGAGGTCGGTGCTGGCACCTATTTCTCACCAGTGTTTCATGCCTTCCTGTTTGGTTAACGGCAGTGTTTCTCAGCCAGAAGTCTGTGGTCACCAGTGTTTGAAGAAGTTATTCCAGCAATTGTTTCATTCTATAATTTTATAAATGATCCATGACAAATACCTCTGCCTAATTTGAGAGACTCAGAGAGCATACCAACTAAGCATGTGGAGCTCTTAGTGGAGCAGTTGGAACTGTTAATAGCACAGTCACAGCATGGAATTAGCATCGCCAGGCACAGGGAGGCTCTGCAGTGTTGCTGACTACCATCCACTGGCTCGGACTGCTGGTTGTCACCCCAATCTATGCTCCATGAATACTGTGCCACAGCGAGGCTGGGAGGAGATAGCACTGTTCATAACTCCCCTGGGAGAGGACAACAGGAGGCTCCCGCCGGGGACTCTCCTGCACTCTGCCCTGCATGCTGCTTCCCGCAGCTGACTGACAACTGTATCCTTTAGCTGTACTAAACCGTAATCATGAGAGCAACCACCTTCAATGAGTTCTGTGAGTCCTCTTAACAAATGATGAAACCTGCAGGTGGTCTGGAAGATCCCTGAACCTGCAGCTGGTATCAGAAAGGAGGGAAATCTTGAGAACTCCTGAACTTCACAACAGGCTTCTGGTCCCGACTGCCATTAACTCCAGTAATCAGCGACTCTCCATCTGTGTCCATGCCGGACAGTGTCTCTTGGTTCTCCACTCCCTCCTCCGCTTCCCTCTGTGGCATTTCCCATGCTTCCTCATTCCAGCTGAAGATGAACAGTGGGAAGGAAGGGAAGCGCTATTCTACTTCTGGCCCCATCCGTGGTGGTCCAGTGACCCCTTATAACAGGGGCCTGAACAGCATCTGAAGCTCCAGAACAGCAGGCAGCCAGCTTCTGCTCCCTCTCAGCAGGGTGGGAGAGCATCCCTAGCCATTCGGTGGCTCCAGCCCCAAGAGAGCAACGGCCTCTGACATCTGGGTAACACCCCCTACTTTCTTTTGCTCTTCTAGCTCTTCCAGCACCTTTGTCAACATTCCCTGACAGTTTTCCTGAAAGAACAATGACCAATACAAATTTCCCCGTGTATAATGGGAATAATAACAATAATAATACCTGTCCTCCTTAGCAGACAGAACTGTTGTGAGTATCCATTATTTAATGGTTACCCGGTTGTTTTGTTAACAGAGAACTATCAAATTTTAAAGTCGTAGGGTCATACAAAGGATCATTCTTGTAAGGAAACAAATACAGAGCAGTGTGGAGGTTCCCTATGTTTATGCATGTCTATTTCCCCAGAGAAAATATTAATCCTAAAACAGCACCTATCACGACTAACAGGAAGCACTCAATAAATGTTTGCTACATTCAGGATGTGTAACTAGGTTCCAAAAATGGTAGTGATGAACCTTTAAAAAACTGAACACTTATTCAGATACATTTCTACTGACTAAAATATTTCAGTTCCTCTTTTTTGCTATTTTCTCAAACTAAACCTGAAAACCTGTTAGAGCCTCCATAACATAGAAGCCTGTTTACCGATCAGATAGAGCTATTGTTGGATTGATCGCCCTCTGGTGGCACCTCAAGAAATTAACTTCTTGTACAGCCTGTGAGTTGTCATTAAAAAAGAAGCAATCTGGTGCTATTGCTATTAAAATCTGAATGGAATATATCTCTCTGTTCTCTTAATGTGCCCAATTGAACACCCATGGATTTTATAATCACAGAAAAGCTTCAATTTTCAAATTAATTTGATGAGGCAGTATAAGAACATTAGGAAGCTGAACAAAAGCACAAATATATATTTAAAAATAACATCCATTTCTAATGTTTATTTTTCCTTTTCCCCAATATGACTCAGTTGAATTATGATAACTCTCAAATGAATCACTTACAATTCAAGTGGTAAATATCTGAGGTTCTTTATAATAGAAAATCCATTTTATTTTACAAACCAAAAACCCAGACTGAGTTTCTTCATCTCAATTTCAAAATATATCTGAAATCATTAATATGCAGGTTTAAGCATGTTTATCTAAACAGACATGTAAAAACACGTGAAATAAACTTTCTTGGATGATCTATTTAACCAAAGGGTCAAAATTTGTACATTCCTTTCCTGTCACTAGGTTGTCATGTGGGCCAGTGCTTGTCAGCAAGGCTACCTATCCCCAAGCTATGGGCAGAGCAGGGGACCCTGTTTGTTTTGTGTTCAAGATGAGACAGGACATGATTTGCACCAGGCCACACAAATGTTTCTAAGCAGCTGCATTATACCATACAAGAAGGGAAACTGAGCAAGGAGTTACTTAACTCACACTATATACATATATATATATGCATACACACTCACCCCTATGCAATTTTTATATATAAACTGAGTAAAATTATTTAAACTTTCAAATGTTTTACATAGACAAAAAGTTCGTGCCAAGCAAATATAAGAGAAATGGGTATTGTCAGATGGGAGTCACAGAATATAAAGATGGAAGACACCCTTCCCCATCCCCCAGAGAGCACAATGAGTTGAACCAATCTGGGTCCAGCCTCTTTTTAGTTCCTGTTCAGCAGGCATTGGTCATTTATACGGCCTGTGACTGTATTGCACTCTTCTTCTGGTTTCCAAACAAGCACCCTTATTCCAGTTGTCCTGCTCCCTCCCACTCCTACTATTTTGCACTGGGTGTGGTCAGAGCAGATGACTTGTCTTTTGGTTTGTAAGTAGCTGGACCAAGAGCACCATCTGAGCTTGATATACAGGACTGTGTGTCACCTAGAGATTGCTGACTGTGAGCTGGATGCACTAGCTGCACAGGACCTGGGGTGTCTCCACTGTGGGAGGATGAGTGTGCTTTGTGCACAGAAAAAGGGTGAGCACGGGTATGTGTGTTCACCAGCATGGTGGCAAAGACTGTTACTTGTTTGAATATTTGACCTCCCCCTGTTCAATAACAATAGACTTTCAACAGCTCATAGTTAACTGTTTACAGAACCAAGACATTTCCCCCAACCACTCCTGCAACTACTGTGTGGTTATGTGACTATGTTCCAACAGATAGGATATAAGCCTAAATAATGTGCATGACTTCTGGGTGTGACCTTAAAAGGAAATGCACATTCTCCCTTCCAATTTCTACTTCTTTCCACTGACTGGAATGCACACAGAATGCCGAGCTGTCTGGAACATGTGGGTGAGAACAACATGCTAGGAATGGTGGAGCCACAAGATAGAAGGATCCTAGGTCCTTGACATCATTGCATTACAGAGCCAAGCCTTAATGTCTGAGAGAGATAAACTTCCGTGTCATTTGAACCACTGCTACTTAAGGTCTTTTTCTTACACAGTCAAATCTTTATTCTAAGAAACATGCCAATGAAAGAAGCAGATCTCATAAAGGGCAGAATGTAACAAATCTTGGAGATTTGGGGGGAAAAACATTCTGGAGATTTGAAGTTCAATCTCTAACCCAAAGAATGAGAGAGAGTGCTCGCTTCGGCAGCACATATACTAAAATTGGAACAATACAGAGAAGATTAGCATGGGCCCTGCACAAGGATGACACACAAATTTGTGAAGCGTTCCATATTTAAAAAAAAAAAAAGAATGAGAGAGATTAGCAAGGAAAAGCCCTGAGAAGAGAATGAGAACAGGATGTGAGGTACGGAAGGAATTTAAGTATGGAAGAAGATAGAAGGTATTTCATGCCAGACCTGGAAAGGTAAGAATCCAGATTATTCTGAACCTTGTAGCCATTTTGATTAAGGAAGGTGAAGAAGATGAAAAGCCAAAAGTGAATGTGTATTCCTAGCCTGACGAATCCATATGGATTGTAGAACCATTTACTGAGAAAAGAAACAACAGGGAAGTAGTAGGTTTCGGTGGGATGACAATGAGCTCACTTTGGGATCTGCTGCATTTGAAGGGTTTGCGATTAGGCAAATAGTTGTGTGGATCTGAATTAAGATCTTGGGTAGAAATAGAAGTGTTGGAGTCACTAACAAGTGGACGGTAAATAAAGCTAGAGGAATGGATAAGAACACCTAGGGTGAAAGTCTATACTGAGAAGAGAGTATAAGAGAGCAGGAGAGGTCTAAGATCCAGAATTCCTACATTAAACAACTGAGTGGAAGAGTGGGAACCAGGGAGATTGAGAAGGAATGGCCAGAGAGAAAGGAAGCCAGGCAAGTGTGTTGTCATGGAGACCAAAGCAAGCAGGTGTTTCAGTAAATAAAGAAGGGCCAACAACGTTGGTGGATGCTGAACGGTCACACAGGATGGGCTCTGACAAGAGCCTACTGGGTTTAACTTCATGGAGGTAACTGGTGACCTCAATGGAGCAGTAAAAGCCCTGGACTGTGAGGATGGAATTGAATTAAGGTGGATTATATAGTGAGTGGATGGTGTGGAAGAAGAGACAATTCTTTTAAGAGATTTAGTTCCAAAAGGGAAAGGAGAGACAGGGAAAGAGAGTGAGCAGCAGCTGTAGGAGTTCTGAGGTTGAGGGAGGTGTTTTCATCTTTCTGAGCTGAAAAACTGAGTGGGGCCTGTTTAAATACAAAAGGGAAAGGCCATTTGCAGGGACAAAATGGAAAATATAGGGAAGAGTGGACAATGCAAAATTCAAGGCCCCTGAGAAGGTAGGAGAAGAGGGGAATTCAGAGAACATGTGGTAGTATTCGCTCAGGAAATGAAGGAGGGAAGGAGGAATGAATGGGTGGATGAGGGATGGGACTAGGGTGAAACAAATGAGGCACTCACCTTGGGCACAAAATTTGAGGGGGCACCAAAATTACAGTTATTGAGATAGAGACAATTTTAGTGCAATTTCTTGCTAAAAAAATCACTGCAAACATCTATGATGAACAAAATTCACTGCAAACATCTATGATGAACAAAATATCAACATTTTAAGCAAAGGCAAGATCAGATATGGGTAGGTGAAGTCTTGGTGGTGGAGAGCTGTAATCGTTTTCTTCCGAAGGTCTCCATTTCCTCTGTGACACAGGAGGGGAGGTCTTCTGGTGAGGGTAAGTGGAGAAGCCGACTAGATGCTGGAGGTGAGAGCAGAGATCTGCAGTGGAAGTTGTGGAGGTGGAGGGCAAGATGAAGAGACCTGATAGAGTTGCCAGGGATGATTAGAGACCAGATGAAGATATAATTACTAATTTATCCAGGCACTCATCTCCCTGTTGTGTGATCTCTAAGGCATCTCTCAGAAGTCCTAGAAAGCATGGAGAAGGCAGACAGAGTCATCATCATGGCGGTTTTATCAGGGAAAGAAATTTAGGATGTTGGCAAGAGGTTTAGTTATGATAATAGACCACAGAACCTTAGCTGGTGAGGGAGGAAGTCAAAACAAAATTATCCCCTTAAATTTTGAGGAATAAACTCAACCAAATGTGAAATTATAGCCCCCAAATAGAATGCAAACGTCACATGTTGTGCACTGGATCGTGTACTCGTATGCTTCACATGCTGAAGTCCTAACCCTCAGCCACTTCAAAATGTGACTATGAAGGAGACAGGGATCTTCCAAGAGGTAATTAAATTAACAGAAGGTAATTAGGGTGGTCCTAATCCAATATGACTGGTGTCCTTACAAGAAAAGGAAATTTGGGTGCAGATAATCACAGAGGGAAGAAGATGGCTGTCTGCACACCAAGGCGGGAGGCCTCGAAAGAAACCAGCCTTGCAGACACCTTGATCTTGGACTTCTAGCCTTCACAGTTATGAGAAAATAGATTTCTATTGTTTAAGAGACCCAGTCTGGGATGCTTTGTTATAGCATCCCTAGCAAACTATTACACCATAGATCATCATATTATAGAAACAGTGATGGACCTTCATAACTCATTAGCTACCTCCTTCTCCCATGAACCCTAGAGAAATTCTAGAATTAAGAAAAAAGCATGGATTTGAGAAATGAACAACTATCACCATGAAGAAAAAAGCATGGATTTGAGAAATGAACTATCACCACAACAAAATGAGAAATTCCTTGGGAGTCTGAAGGCAGTTTTGAAGTGGTATGGGAGGTACATGTGTTTGAGGCAGGAGGCTGACGCAGCCTGGGGTAGTGGGCAACCAGAAGCAGCCGTGAGAAGGCCTAGAGGAAAGCAGAAATCAGCAGCAGGCTCCTGAAGCTGCCCCATGCCTTACATCGGGGTAGAAGCACGAGGGTACCTGGCAGGGGAGAGAGGCCCATGAGAACAGGAACTGACCAGCTCCCTTCAGGCTTGACTTCTTTGCCTCTCTCCATCCAAATCCCAGGGCTGCTGGATCATGAACTGAGGAGCTGGTCTCTCAAAGCTACTCCTTCCTAAGAGATTAAAGGTGACACTCGCAACAGAGTAGCTGCCTGATGAAGGCAACAAATGGGAGTGATCAGCACTAATAAAGGGGACTGGGGTTCATTGGCTTCCTTGCTAAATTCATCTGGAGGGTCACACAGGCCTCCCCCTCAGTTCACCAGACTCTTCCATGGGCACATGAGCTCACAGGCCAAAATAACCCGGCATCTGTGGAGGACAGAGAGAACATGAAATAAATGCAAACAGCACAGTGAATCACACTTACCAACTGAATGAGAATTATTACAACAGATGAACCAAAAAATTAAAATATGCATGATGAATGTACTTAAGAAGAAAGAAGGAGATATTAGCAATATGAACAAAGAATAAGAAATTATTAAAAAGTGGAAATGTGAGCTCTGAAAAATGAGAGTGTGTTAAGGGAAATGGTGCGGATGGGGCCTGAACAAGGTGAGGAGAGGAGTTGCTGTAGACACTGACAGCCAGGAGGGACAGCTTGGTACCCTGACTCTCTCGGTATGTTCTCAAGATTGCAGAAGAACCACAAACCACTAAAATTGTATTCTTTGATACCCCTATTGGCTTTTTCAAGCTGCTGTCTAATCAGTATATCCTAAATATGTATACATCAATCACAGTACCCAGGACTGGGTACTTTTTCCTCCCTTCTCTGTCTTATAAGTTCAGTTTTTGCCTTTGTTCCTTAACAATAGTCTAATGACTGCCTTCCTCATGTGACTAAATTTCTGAAGCAAGTTAATTGAACGTCTCTGAGTTATTCTTGGGCTAGATAAAATAGGTGGAGGGAAAAAACAATAATAGGGAAAACAGCAGGGTGGATAGAGCTGCAGGATAAGTTCGAGATTTGTAACATCATATTGAGGCATTTTCCCAGGAGGCAGCAGGAAGAAATAAAGATATGGAAAACATAAAAAGGAAAGATAAGAGGCGCGGAGGACAGAAGCAATATCCAGAAATTGTGAGTCCCAGATAGGGGAAAAAAAAACTATACAAAAGACACACTCCACAGAAATAATGAAGGTAAGTTTCCCTAAGTTAGTGGAAAAGAAAGACCTCAGACTGAAAGAAGTCACAGAAAACCAAACAGAAAAGGAAAATCACTACCTAGATCCATGACAGTGAAATGCAAAAATTACATATGAGAAATTTCCAGAGAGGAAGACTAGACCATCTAAAAAAGATCAAGAATCATGTTGACATGAGACTTGGAAAGCAACATGAGATACGAGAAGAAAATAAAGTAATATTTTTAAAGTATTGAAGGAAAACACTTGCAGAGAACATTATACTAAATAGAGAAGTTTTATAAGCAATTCCCATGAGATCAGCACTGGTACCATTACTATTAATAAATTACTAAGGCTCCTGGCCAATACAATAAGAAAAGAAAAAGGTAAAAGGGGTGTAAAGGTAGGAAAAGTAAAGCTAAAACATTATTTGCAGAAATATAATCATCCATTTCAGAAAAGAGCAACAGAATTAAAAAACTATTAAAATTCATAAGGAGGTTTAGGAATTACAACAATCAATAGTATTTTTCTCATCACAAATAACAACCTAAATTTTTAAAAGCATGCCATTCACAATAATATAAAGTAATACACCATTTATAATGGCAACAAAAGCCATAATGTGTCTAGGAGTTAACCAAGAATGTGCTAGATCTTTACAGACAAAATTATAAAATTAAAAAGGCATAAAAGATGACCTGAATAAACTGTTATATTTTTCAATAGGATGAACTAATATTAATGTATTATTTCTCCAGAAATTAACCTAATTAATTCAATTTTGAGCAAAATTTTTGTTGGAGTTTTTTGAGGCCCAATAAAAGTGGGCTAAAATGTATGTAAAAGCCAAAAAATCCATAAATAGTTAAGTCAGTCTTGGAAAAGAAGGGTAAAGAGATGGAACTTGCTTTATAAGGTATTAAAGGCATACTGCAGCAATAGAAACAGCATGGGAAAAGTATAAAAAGAGATACCACAGACCAGTAGAACAGAGCAGGGTGCTCAGATACAAACCTAAACATAAAGAATATACAACATGGGCAGCAGGCAGCAATGCATAAACAATTTACAAACAAATAGCATTCTACTTTGTGAAGGTCACATATTTATTTCAGCTTAGAACAATTCATAAACCCTGGTATCTAACAATACCTGAACACAGATCTATTACTGACAGTGGATTAAATAATCCAGGGATATTGTAACTAAACAAAGGGCAGGTCCATTTTTCACTGGGGTTAATAAGAGAATAACCAATTCCAAAACCTCTCTTTTGGTCTTGTGTGATAATGTTTATTGAGGGAAACTTTCCCCTTAGCTGTCCAATTAGGGTACATATTTCTTCAGGCAAAAGGCACTAGCATCACTGGGATTTCTCCGAGGGTGGTATGTGAAAAGTAACAGCAAAATTAACATTTAAAAACACTTGGGCCTGCATGCTGATATCATACAAAGGAGAGAATGGGATACTGTGGATATCTTGAACATTCCAGGCACATTCTCAGCTCAGGAGCTTTTCACCTGTTGCCTGCTTTGCCTGAAATTCTCTCTCCCCAGATATCCTCACAGTTTACTCCCTCACCTCCTTCAGGGCTTTGCCCAAATAGCACATCACCAGAGATGTCCCATAACCACTCTACGTAAAACTGCAAACCCCGTACCAACATGGGTATCCCCCCCATTCCCCCTTACCTGCTTAATTATCACCATACTGTAAACATTTTATGTCTTTTGTTTACTGTCTGTATTCCATTTGAATGTAAACTCCACCAGGACCAAGAGTTTGTCATTTTGTTCGATATTCCTTCTTACTATGTAGAAGGTGCTCAATAAATATTGATTGAGTGAATGTTTATTGCATTTTAGCATTTCCATAGATACAGGCAACAGTACTAAGGAATAAGCCCATCATTTGCAGTGCAGGTAGAATCTTAGTCTATTTAACAGTTGAGACACACGTATCAAATAAAAAACTTCAAGTGGAACAGTTTATAACTACTGCTTCTCAATGTGGATCCTCGCAGTGCTCACTGGGTTATTTTTTTTTCTCTGAGAGAAAAAGAGATCTTTTAGGTGAAAGAAGAGAGATGGGATTAGCAGCTCTTGTAAATTTTTTGGCCATTGTGTGTCAAGACTCAAAGTCATTATGCAGAGAAAATGAATAAATCCTGGAAAAAGATAATCAGTTCAGTTGGGCTTTAGAAGTCTTTATAATTTCTGAATCTATAAACCTGAAATACAAAGGTAAGCCTGTAGTTACGTGAGAAAAGCTACAGTCCACTTCATAAAAGCAGGTGCAATCAAAAGTAAAATGGTCGATTACCAATTGTGTCTCTTTCTCTATTAGGAAATCATATTTTCTATAGTGCTAAATGTGCTATCCATCCCATCCAGAGATTTTTTTAAAAATTTCAGATATTTCATTTTTCATCTCAGAAACTCGATTTGCTTTTTCTTAAAAAAAATCTTAGTCCCTCTCCTGTTACCTTTAAATATTTGAGCATACTGAGTACAATTATACTAGGCGTTTTAAAGTTCTTGTCTGTCAAAGGCATCACTTTTGCATTTCTGGATGTTTCTATTGGCTCTGTATTTTTACCTGGCATGTCCATTAATTTTTTTACTGGATGTGTGATACTTTGAACTTAATGTTGAGTCCTGGATTTCATAATCTTTTAGAGAGAATTAGCCTTTGTTCTGGCAGACACGTTTCTTACAGAGCAGTCTGATCCTTTCACAGGGCTTGTCCAGCAGTTTTTGAAGGATTTACAAAAGCTTTCACTCTAGACCCTAGAGTCTAGGGCTAGTTTACCTCATTACTAAGGCATGCCTCTTCTGGGGTCTGTACAGCGTATTCCATGTGTTCAACAGTCTCTACACTTGGGCTGAAGGGAACTCAGATGCTTCCCAGTCCTCTGTGAGCTCTGAAAAAGTGATTTGGCTTGCTGCTCCCCAGTAATCGTCCTTTCCTGGCTTTGCGGAGTTTCACATTACATATTAACTGGTTTTTATTCAGCTAAAGATTCAAGGATACTCATGCATATTCTGAAGCTCTTTCTCCATGAACTTGGCCTCCCCGAGTGGGCTAAAATCCAGTCCGTCTTCTCAAAACCTCTGTCCTCTCAGTGAGACCTTCCGTCTCTGAGTTCCCCTTCCCTGCACCTCAAACTGGAAACGGCCTCTAGGCAGAAAGCCAGGGTGATACCGGGTTCTCCTTGTTTCTTTTCTCTAAAGTACAATAGTCCAGAGTTGCCTGTTGTCCAGTGTCTGAAAACAGATGTTTCATGTATTTTGTTCAGTTTTTTAAATAAGCCCAGACCCATTTACTCATCTCGTGCAGGGGGGACGTCCTAAACTCCTTATGGAAAATAAAACTTGTTTTGTAATTGTACTTGCTATGGTTAAAATTCACCTCTCTATGGTAGCCCTTGTTTCCCTTCTCAGGAAGTAGTGGTTTCCCTTACGTCCTCTTGTGACCAGAGTCTAGCCTAGCGCGTAAATCCAACACGTCAGGCGCGTCACCTCTGCGCGGGAACCTCGAAGCCCCTTTCCTCCCGCGCGCGTCTCCCTCACTTTCTTCCTCCCTCCCGCGTCGGCAGATGCGCTCGCGTTCCGCGGGAGCCGGCTCACTGCGCCTGCGCGGCGTGTGGACGCCACACGCTTCCGGAAGTGGGCGGTGTCCGCTTGAGTTTGTGTGGCCGCCACCGCGGGAACGCGAGCCCGGTAAATTTTCAACGGAGAAAGGCGAGGCTCTCGGGCTTGGCTGAGTGAGAGTGAGCGAGTGTCGGGCTCCAGCAGTGATACCGGCATGGAGAGTGAGCAGGGCACGCAGCCTGGCGGCGAGGCCGTGACTCCAGCGCGGCAAGAGCCGCCCGGGTCGGAGTGTGGGGAGGAGCCGCGGCGTCCGAATCCCGAGGTGAGAGTCCGCCCGCGCACCCTTGGCTGGTAGGGTGCTCCGCAGAACCCTGCGACCCCAGCCGGTTGCCCTGTCCGCAGCTCCGGGGGCGTGTACACGGGGTGGTTGTCATTGAGCCCACTCGGGTCCAAATTACCCCCCTGGCTGTGAGAAACGGCCAAGACTGAAGTGTGTGAACTGTGGTATTGTAAGTCGTGGTGGGAATTCTGTACACATTCTGTGCACCCTGTTGCTATTGGTATTCTGTCTAGCTCTTAGCTTATATTTTTAAAAAATTACACCATATGCCCAAAAGTATGTCGCTTCGTAAGACCTTGAGCCCACCTCCTCCCAGCTTTAACAGGTGATTGTTCCTTCTGTAGCTTCGTTCCCCCCTCACCGTTTTTTTCCCCATTTATTACTATCATGTAAATACAGTATATATGACTGATTTTCTTAATAACTGAAAACTCACTAGTAAGTTCTGGTTGCAGTGGCAATTTTGTAAAAACGGTCTTAAAACTTAACTTCCTCATATCATAGTTACTGTTAACTAGCGCTGCAGACTAAATAATCTAATAGCAAAATGGGATCGTTTTCTCAGAAACAAATGCATGCTGAGTACCTCATAGAGTAGGTACTTGCTGGAGGCTTCCTAGCTCTTGTTCTTTCTATCTACAGTCAATTCTATACATAACAGCTAGAATGATCTTTTGATAACATTAACTTGGTTTTTCCCCTCTTTAGTCTGCAATTTGCTGATCCCCCCCCTCCACTCCTGCATCTGGGCCTGGTTCCTGGCTCTTGCTAAGTGCATCTCACACAGTTCTCTTTTGCTGTCAGTTCTCCTGGGTTCCTTAGTTCTTTTATGGTGCATGGACTTCATTGTCAGGGTCTTTGTATGCTCCCTTTCCTCTGCATGCTCTCCTCTGGGTCTTGCATAGTTACCTCTTTCTCCTTAAAATATTACTTGGTAAGAGGCCTTCCGTGTCCCCTCTCTCTAAAGAACCACTCTTCCACCCCACCTCCTCTTCAGTCTGAGACACTGCCAATAACATGATCATGTAAGTTTAAAAATAATTTTTCAAAGTTTTTTTTCATAAGAGAAGTGTGTGGTTGAATCTACTTAATTGTATTTGAACTCTTAAAACTTGGAAGTATAACAATTTAAGGCTTGGGTCTGTGTTCCAGTTGGTTTTAGTCAATATTTGTTAATAACCTATTGTTTAAATAAATGGCACTCTTAATAAATGATGATACAGTTTTAATTTTTTTAAAAAAGTTACAGTTAAGCAAAATATTTTGTTGGAATTTGGCTAAGTACGTTTTCATTATCCCTAATGTCAGTTGTCTTTTGTAAACCAGTAGGTATTGCATTTTTATATTTTTAACCGATCAAGTTCAAATTTCATCAGTACTCGTGCTTTGTAAGAATTTTAATCAAATTAAGTTATACTTTTAAGTCCATTTTAGTGTGTAGATGTAGAGGGTTTTTTGTTATTGTTGTTTGGGGAATGTACAGTTTTGGGCAATAAAAGAGTGGAAACATCTCCAGAACATCCATTTTCAAAATGTTCTTGCCACAGGAAGTTTCTTTTGATAAGCAGTTACTTTTAACTTATTGTGAAAACATACTTTCTTTCTTCTTGAGACAACATATTTTATTCATTGAGAGAAAACAAAACTTCCAAGGATCTAGCTATTAATCCTTTCTCATCACAGAAAATGATAGCAATTTTGGAATACCTGTCTTTTTGTAAAAAACATGTAACTCATCTTTAAGTTCAATAGCACTTAAGTACTTTGCCACAAGGTAGTCAGTAAACATCTTTTTCAGTATAAAAGATTTTCATGTCACTTCCCATGATGTAAAGATTCTCTTATTTGGGATAATGTAAGTTATACAGCCTCTTACTTGCATACATGAAAATTGCAAAATGTGTCAATACGATGAAAGTGAAAATTCCTCTCTCTACTGTGGAGTCTGTCTCCATTTTTCTCATTTTATGGCTAGTACTTTATGTTATGTATGACACATGGACATAGACATTGGGGAGGATGTCGCTGTCATTTACATATTATTTAGTGAACTAATTTATGTTTTTGTAGATCAATAATAAATGTAGGGTTTCTAATGTTTTCCTTCTGTCCCTTAATGGATTGACTTAAGCATCCTTCTTTGGAAACGTTAGTGTGCTAGATGTGAAATTTGAGAAGAGACACTGATCATTAAGAGTGGACCTTGACTCTGCCCTGAACTTGGCTGAAGGAGGAGTGCTAAAGTTGGACCTAGGAGATGAAGCAAGATGTTTCTTTGTACAAATCATGACTTATAGCATATCTAGAAGAGACTTGAATGTTACTTGGGGATAATTTTTGTAGCTACAGTTTTAGGTAAGAATTAAGCAAGTGAATCAGAGGATTCAGACAAAGAGAAAATTTGCCTAAATTGAGACATCTGTTTTTTATATACAAACTGTTATTAATGTTGACCTAAAATTCAACCTGATGGAAGGTGAAGTTTAAAATACTGTGTAAGTTTAAGGCCAAGGATAAATTATCTTGATTAAATTCTAATGATAAAGTAACCAGGTATTATAAATTTAATGCATTATTGAAAGCTAATTATATTCTTACCTTTTGTCAAAGATCAGCATAATAAGCTTTTAAAAATATTTGTTAACAAGAAACTTCAATATAGGTATTCATCAATTTATGGACAGTTCAGTCCTTGGAGTTGCCGATTTCTTCCTCAGAGGAGATAGTAGTGAGTAATTCTTGGGCACTTTAGCACAATACCTAGCATTACATTTCAGTAAATGTGTGTTGGATTAAGTTGAGAGTTTAGGGAAATAGTTTCTGAACCATTCAGGATCAGTTCTAAGTCAGGGACTATGGCCTGCCCATGGTTATCCTTCCTTAATCTGTTTTTAAAGTTTTCATGGCACAATTAGGTAAATTACGACTAAGTTAACAAGCTTTAGTGTGGGTTAATAATAAGTACCAAAGTATTTTTGAAAATCTGGGACATACCTAATATTCATTTATAAAATTGCATGTGTAAAATTGCATAATTAACTTATAAGTGAATCTTTGAGACTTAGCATAGTAATTTGGAACTACCTGTCAAATGATTAGAATTGAGTCGTGTTTTTTTTTTCTTAACTCAGATTTTGATTTAAGAAAAGAAAAAAGGTTTATAATGTAGTAACTATATAACTATAATTCTCCTGAATAACTGATATATGTGTGACTTTGAAATTGTGTTTTAAAACTGAATATATTTCCTTTGCCTTGGGTGGTAGGAATTTTTAAACTAGATTCCTAGTCCATTTTGTTTTTATATTAGGCAATTTCAGTTAACTTTGTGAAATGAAGTCAGATTAAATTCTCAGGAAGTCACTGACATAATAATGTAAAAATCCATTTAAAAATTGGTTCATTTGTAAATTTTTAGAATATTATTTGTGAAAGGTCGGTTCTACAATCTGTGATGGTAGTAAGTTCCCATTTATTCATAGCATAGAGGGATGATAATAGGAGCCTGATATATATGATCTCATTTAATTCTTATAATAATCTTGCCCAAATACTACTTAGCATTACCATTACCAACTTACTAATGCCATTTGAAACTTATTATTATTCCTTATTATATAGATAAAGGAAACTGGTGATCAGAGGCTATTACGTAACTAACCAGGTCACTGCTAGTAAATGGGGCTCTGTACTGAGGTGGCTCTGACTCTGATATCAGTGTTCTTTTTACTTAGCTTCATTTCCTGTATGGAACCTCATGATTCAGAAAAGAGCAGAGTAAATTGTATTAGAAGTATATCTTTCATTTTCCTATGCACCTTTCATTGAAGAGTAGCATGAAGAGCCTCAGGAGTTTGAATCTTAAAAGATGTTTATACTAATTTATAAACTTTTTTTTTTTTTCAGAAAAAGCAACGATGTAGATTTGATGGCCAAGAAACAAAAGGATCTAAGTTCATTACCTCCAATGCAAGTGATTTCAGTGACCCAGTTTACAAAGAAATTGCTATCACGAATGGTTGTATTAATAGAATGAGTAAGGAAGAACTCAGAGCTAAACTTTCAGAATTCAAGCTTGAAACTAGGTAATTAAAAATAACTTTAAAGAATTATAAAAGTAGTACATGCTTATTCTAGAAAATCTTGAAAATGCTGAAAAATTAAAATCTGTGATCCTACTGTAAAGAGGTATCATTATTAACAACTTAAAAGCTATAACTTACATTCTAATATGTTCATCTTTATGTCAACTCTCATTATTTCTATCAGTACTTTAGATGATAGACTAGGATTGCTGAGTCAAAACCTATGAATATTTTAACAGTGTACCAGCAATGACTAGGAATATTGAATCGTGCCAGATATGTTTTAAAGTATTTTAGCTGTTGTTTTATGGATAATTATATATTTTATTAATGAGATTGAATATTTTTCTTTTTTCTTTTGTTTATTTGTATTTCTAAAAACAGTTTCTGTGAAACCAAGTAATTAAAAAAAAAATCTTTACCTCCCAGGAATTTTTGTTTTTCTGTTTTAGTTTCTAGAAATATGTAGAATGGTAGTATGTATTATATTTAACTGTATATTGAATGAGAAAAAAACACAGCTGTGTGTGTTTTCAATGAGATGTATGCATACATACATTTTCTAAATGCATGTTTTTAATGTATGTTTAAAAACATTCAAGTTTTTAATAAGTTTTTGCAAAGCAAGTGATTTTATGTTGTCCTGGGGCATGTGCCAGGAATGACTTTTTGGAATCCAGAAAAGCATGCAGATTTTTGGTAGACAGTAGAACTGCTAAGCATCAAGAAAAACTGACTGTCTGAAATAGATGGAAACTGTTATTGTTTTTGGTACCCCTGAATCCTTATTCTCTTACAAGCAATGTAGTCTTCCTCTTTGCTTTAAAATAGAGCTTCACTGCTTTTCCAAAGAGCACCCATACTTTTCTTCCCCTTCTAGTTAGAAAGGTAAAACAGATGTAGTCCCCACTTGGGAAAGCTCACAGCCTTTGGGGAAAACATTCAAACAAATAATCACAATACAGAGCAAGCAGTGCTATATTAGATGTCTGGGCGAGCACAACACGAGAATACAGAAGAGCATCTGTCTCAGGAATTCAGGGCTGACATTTGAATTGATGTGCCAAACAGAAAAGGGAAGAAGGGTATTTCAGGCAAAAAGCTCAAAAACTCCGAATTTTTGTTTTCTGCTTCTACTACATGATTTTGCTTTTTCTTCAGTTACTGTAACAACCAAAGTCGTAGAACACGAAAACATGCCACAGATTCATGCAACTACTTGTAGTGATGTTTCGTGTACAGTGTTCCATATACCATGGGGAGTGGGAGCATCTGCAGACAATAATGAAATAATAGTTTGCAGCCACATTGTGAAAGAAGTCTGTGCTAATGTCTGCCTTTTACCTTGTAAACAGAAGAGAGCCAGTGAAGGTTTTCAGCAGGAAATTGGCATTCTCAGATGAGGTAAAGCTGGAAAAGGAGGGTTGTAATAGTGGAGGCATTTGCCACAGTCCTAAGGAAGCTGCTGATGGGAGTTGTAGCAGAGAGAATAAGGAGAATCAGGTTCTGAGTGTTTTTCTAAGTTGGAATTGTCAAAAATGGTGATTATTTGGATGTGGAGGGCAAGGGACATGTTAAAGATGACAAGTTTTTCTCTGGTGCAACTGGTTATGTTCATGTTGCTCTTATGTGTGTAGGCAACTCTTTAGCAAGTATACCCTCCTGGAAAAGAAAGGAAGGGAGGGAGGTGGGGGGAGGGAAGTTGAGAGACAATGTAATCCAGAGCTGTCACATGACACAGAGGTCCTCACAGTGCCTTAATATTAAGGGGCTAAGGGTTTCCTTATGAGATATTGGCAATTATTTGACTAGCATTTTGTATTTGGAAACCATTAATAGGACACTAGTTATGACTTTAAATTTTTTGAAGAAATGCATAGTGTTTGGAGGACCTGACTACCATTGCCAACCATTGTTCTCTATTTAAAACAACTCTTTTCCTACCTCCCATATGTGGATCAGATATTTTGAAAATACTCAAAATATCCTAAATCATATTCTCCCTCTGGTAAATTATGAAACCTACTTCCAGTTAAGAACTAACCGAGTATGACAATGTTCTTCTGGACATGGTTTACTCTTGGGCATCTTCCAAATTAGTTTTCCTGATTAAGTAGCTAACAGACATTCAACAGACAAGTGGTAGCCTCATGATGCTTTCCTATCCATATGGAGTTTTAAAGTTGTCTAATCTATAAAGAACAAAAAAGAAGGAATCATACAATGTATTCAATTTATTGAATTTTATACTCTGAAATTCATATTTGTGGAACAATTCAGTCAATTTCAGTTTTTATACATGGACATCATCTTAGTAAATGAGGCGGTATGGCTATATTGGTAGTGTAACTGACAAGGATTGTGGTTTGAAATACGGGTACATATTGGAAAAGTGCTCTTATGTACTACAAAAATGAAGTTACTTGTGAAGGAAAATATTGATGTTGTTTACATTTTAATTAGTTCTTTGCTAACTTAGGCTTGAATCTTGGTTTCTTTACATTTATTTTAGCTAACCTTTGCTAAATTATGCTGTAACTGTCATTGCTCAACTCAGTGCCAGCAGGTAAGAGTTCAGATTCTGGATTGTAAAATTGACTAAAGAGTTAATTTTCTTATTTCCTCAGAGGCGTAAAGGATGTACTAAAGAATAATTGACTAAAGAGTTAATTTCCTTCTTATTTCCTCAGAGGAGTAAAGGATGTACTAAAGAAGAGGCTGAAAAACTATTACAAGAAACAGAAGCTGATGTTGAAAGAGGGCAATTGTGCTGACAGTTACTATGACTACATTTGTATTATCGACTTTGAAGCCACTTGTGAAGAGGGTAACCCACCTGAGTTTATACATGAAATAATTGAATTTCCTGTTGTTTTACTGAATACCCATACCTTAGAAATAGTAAGTGAATTCTTATATTTTAATTTTATTTTTAGCAGCAACTATTCTGGTGTTCACTAGTAAGGTGGGGGATCTCTTTTGCCGTTTCAGTAGGCGTCAGAATTCCAAAGTGAGCTTTTTGCTCTTGCTACTGTGTACTTTGCATCAGCTTGATTGATAGAAAAGCTGTAATAAAATAATCTCAGAGCCTGCTTCTCTTCTTTTCCAATAGCTAAAATCATAGTGTTCTTTTCTGTTTGCTTAGAACACATATCCAGCTAGACATCAGAATTGCTTGGAGAACAAAAAGAAACCACTGATGCCTGGTTATCTGCCCAGAGATTCTGATTTAGTTGTTTTGTGGTGGGGCCCCTGCACCAGCATTTTTTAAAAAAGCTTCTCAGTTGATATGCCATCAGGATTGAGAACCACTGCTGTAGACTAATGTATGCTCTGATCTCTAAAAATGATAATTTACAGAAGTCACCTTTCAACTTAGAACTGGCCATCTTTCTGGTGGAAAGTTTATGGGGAAAATGATGCTCATAACCGTGGCTTCTAAGCCATATAATATATGTGCTTTGGATACTTGTCAGTGTGTTACTAGTTCAGGAAGTCAACAGGAATTCTCTAAAATAGTACTGTTTGCCTTGTAAAATTTGAGTTAAGTATATCATAACAACTCATCTATCCAAAAGTTAAGTTCTGTAATATTTCCAGTTGCCACCAACATGTTGGGTGGAAGTACGAAAAGGCTTTGTATATTCAGATGCATAGATTTTTTTCCTTTGTGGTGCTGAAAGCATCTTTTTAGTTCTATTCAGCCTGTGTATAATTTCCTTGTCCAAAGCAGACTAAAGGTCAATAAAAGGAAAAATGGCTGCTGTAAAGGCAAATAATCTTGTGTGGCTCACTGGATTCCACTTCCTCTCTCTTACCCAGGGACATTGTTCTAGCAAGTCTCTGTCATGTAGAGGTTAATGATTCTTTGCTTTCTCCGCTATTGCTCCCATCACATACAAACCTGTTGCTATTTTTCACACCATAAAAAGCCTTCACTTGATCATGCTTCCCTGCCAACTACCCTGTTTCTTTGTTCCTCTATGGTGTACCTTTTTCAAAAAGTTATGTATACTTTGGTCTCTGTTACCTCTCATTCTTTCTTAAACCCACACCACTGTGATTTTCAGGTATGTATTCAGTCTCATAATTGCACTAAAATCCCTAACCAGTGTCATCTTTGACCTTTACCTAAATCTAGGTAGAACTGACCACTCTCCTGAAACACTTTCTTCAAGTCACTGCCAGTATACCTCATTCTTTTGAATTTTCTCCAGTTTCCTTTACGGTTTCCTGGCTGGTTCTCCCTTTTTCTTCACAATTTCCTAATATCAGATGCCCCAGGGCCCAATCCTAGATCCTTTCCCTTTTGGACCTGTCTATATGCGATGACTTCCAGTGATGACCTCTTTCCCAAATCTAGGCTGCTTATTTAACATCTCTACTTGGGCATTTAAACAGACATCTTAACATGTCCCATTTTGAATTTACCCTCAACGTGTTTTGTCTTTAGCCTTTCCTAGCTTGAGGGAGGGCAGCTCTGTCTTTCTGATTGCTCAATTGACAAACCTTAGAGTCATCCTTGACTCCTTTGTTTCTCTCACGTTGTACACACTCAGTTCCAACAGCAACTCCTGTTTGCTCTGCCTTCAAAATATATCCAGAACGCAGCCACTTAACCGCACTGCTATGACTCTATAGTCTGAGCCCCAGTAATTTCTGGAGTGGATTACTGTATTCACCATCTAACCAGTCTCTATCCTGTCCTCTATAGCCAATTCTCAACATAGTGGCCAAAGGCATTCTGTAAATAGGAGTCAAATCATTTCACTCCTCGCTGAAAACCCTTCAGTGGCTCCCCATGTAACTCAGAGTAAAAGCCATATTCCTTAATGTGATCTGGCCTCTTGTTACCTCTCATTGTCCCATACTGACCTGCTAGCTGTTTCTCAGAAATGCCAAGCATGCTCCACCCACCCACCTCCCAGAGCTTTAGCTCTGATTCCTTTCCTCCAAAGGTCTTACTGCTAATTTCCTCCCCTCCTCCCTCCCTCCCTTCCTCCCTTCCAGGCCTTCCCTCTCACCTCCTACGTAAAACCTGACTGACTACCTGTTTATAGTTTAAACCCCCACACCCAGAGTTTCTGAACCCCTTATCTTCTCTACTTTATTTTTAAATAACCCTTACCACCTTTTAACTTACTAAGTAATATAAGTGATTATTAAATATTTGGTCAATGAATATTTGGTCATTGAAGTTCAAGTATCCTTTGCTGTTCTTTACTTTTGTTCTTTCACAGTTGTTAGTAACCATGCACTAGTGTGCAGAAATTCTTCAGAAATATAAACACTTGCTTTTCTTAATTTTTAAATTTTCTGCCATAAGAGGTATTTTCTTTTTCTCCATATCTACCAAGTATTAACAATTGCTGCCTTTAACTTTGAGATTGTCCTTAATTTTTAACAAGTGACTTAGTATGTTCTAGCTTAGCGGGGAGGCAGAATTGGGCTAGAGGGAAAAAACACCTAGAGCTCTGAGCTCAGTAACGTCTGGCCTTACTGAGTTCTCAGATTTGTTGGGAGCATAAAATAAGAAGGCAAGCAAGAATTGGACATGGTTTACTCTTGGGCATCTTCCAAATTAGTTTTCCTGATTAAGTAGCTAACAGACATTCAACAGACAAGTGGTAGCCTCATGATGCTTTCCTATCCATATGGAGTTTTAAAGTTGTCTAATCTATAAAGAACAAAAAAGAAGGAATCATACAATGTATTCAATTTATTGAATTTTATACTCTGAAATTCATATTTGTGGAACAATTCAGTCAATTTCAGTTTTTATACATGGACATCATCTTAGTAAATGAGGCGGTATGGCTATATTGGTAGTGTAACTGACAAGGATTGTGGTTTGAAATACGGGTACATATTGGAAAAGTGCTCTTATGTACTACAAAAATGAAGTTACTTGTGAAGGAAAATATTGATGTTGTTTACATTTTAATTAGTTCTTTGCTAACTTAGGCTTGAATCTTGGTTTCTTTACATTTATTTTAGCTAACCTTTGCTAAATTATGCTGTAACTGTCATTGCTCAACTCAGTGCCAGCAGGTAAGAGTTCAGATTCTGGATTGTAAAATTGACTAAAGAGTTAATTTTCTTATTTCCTCAGAGGCGTAAAGGATGTACTAAAGAATAATTGACTAAAGAGTTAATTTCCTTCTTATTTCCTCAGAGGAGTAAAGGATGTACTAAAGAAGAGGCTGAAAAACTATTACAAGAAACAGAAGCTGATGTTGAAAGAGGGCAATTGTGCTGACAGTTACTATGACTACATTTGTATTATCGACTTTGAAGCCACTTGTGAAGAGGGTAACCCACCTGAGTTTATACATGAAATAATTGAATTTCCTGTTGTTTTACTGAATACCCATACCTTAGAAATAGTAAGTGAATTCTTATATTTTAATTTTATTTTTAGCAGCAACTATTCTGGTGTTCACTAGTAAGGTGGGGGATCTCTTTTGCCGTTTCAGTAGGCGTCAGAATTCCAAAGTGAGCTTTTTGCTCTTGCTACTGTGTACTTTGCATCAGCTTGATTGATAGAAAAGCTGTAATAAAATAATCTCAGAGCCTGCTTCTCTTCTTTTCCAATAGCTAAAATCATAGTGTTCTTTTCTGTTTGCTTAGAACACATATCCAGCTAGACATCAGAATTGCTTGGAGAACAAAAAGAAACCACTGATGCCTGGTTATCTGCCCAGAGATTCTGATTTAGTTGTTTTGTGGTGGGGCCCCTGCACCAGCATTTTTTAAAAAAGCTTCTCAGTTGATATGCCATCAGGATTGAGAACCACTGCTGTAGACTAATGTATGCTCTGATCTCTAAAAATGATAATTTACAGAAGTCACCTTTCAACTTAGAACTGGCCATCTTTCTGGTGGAAAGTTTATGGGGAAAATGATGCTCATAACCGTGGCTTCTAAGCCATATAATATATGTGCTTTGGATACTTGTCAGTGTGTTACTAGTTCAGGAAGTCAACAGGAATTCTCTAAAATAGTACTGTTTGCCTTGTAAAATTTGAGTTAAGTATATCATAACAACTCATCTATCCAAAAGTTAAGTTCTGTAATATTTCCAGTTGCCACCAACATGTTGGGTGGAAGTACGAAAAGGCTTTGTATATTCAGATGCATAGATTTTTTTCCTTTGTGGTGCTGAAAGCATCTTTTTAGTTCTATTCAGCCTGTGTATAATTTCCTTGTCCAAAGCAGACTAAAGGTCAATAAAAGGAAAAATGGCTGCTGTAAAGGCAAATAATCTTGTGTGGCTCACTGGATTCCACTTCCTCTCTCTTACCCAGGGACATTGTTCTAGCAAGTCTCTGTCATGTAGAGGTTAATGATTCTTTGCTTTCTCCGCTATTGCTCCCATCACATACAAACCTGTTGCTATTTTTCACACCATAAAAAGCCTTCACTTGATCATGCTTCCCTGCCAACTACCCTGTTTCTTTGTTCCTCTATGGTGTACCTTTTTCAAAAAGTTATGTATACTTTGGTCTCTGTTACCTCTCATTCTTTCTTAAACCCACACCACTGTGATTTTCAGGTATGTATTCAGTCTCATAATTGCACTAAAATCCCTAACCAGTGTCATCTTTGACCTTTACCTAAATCTAGGTAGAACTGACCACTCTCCTGAAACACTTTCTTCAAGTCACTGCCAGTATACCTCATTCTTTTGAATTTTCTCCAGTTTCCTTTACGGTTTCCTGGCTGGTTCTCCCTTTTTCTTCACAATTTCCTAATATCAGATGCCCCAGGGCCCAATCCTAGATCCTTTCCCTTTTGGACCTGTCTATATGCGATGACTTCCAGTGATGACCTCTTTCCCAAATCTAGGCTGCTTATTTAACATCTCTACTTGGGCATTTAAACAGACATCTTAACATGTCCCATTTTGAATTTACCCTCAACGTGTTTTGTCTTTAGCCTTTCCTAGCTTGAGGGAGGGCAGCTCTGTCTTTCTGATTGCTCAATTGACAAACCTTAGAGTCATCCTTGACTCCTTTGTTTCTCTCACGTTGTACACACTCAGTTCCAACAGCAACTCCTGTTTGCTCTGCCTTCAAAATATATCCAGAACGCAGCCACTTAACCGCACTGCTATGACTCTATAGTCTGAGCCCCAGTAATTTCTGGAGTGGATTACTGTATTCACCATCTAACCAGTCTCTATCCTGTCCTCTATAGCCAATTCTCAACATAGTGGCCAAAGGCATTCTGTAAATAGGAGTCAAATCATTTCACTCCTCGCTGAAAACCCTTCAGTGGCTCCCCATGTAACTCAGAGTAAAAGCCATATTCCTTAATGTGATCTGGCCTCTTGTTACCTCTCATTGTCCCATACTGACCTGCTAGCTGTTTCTCAGAAATGCCAAGCATGCTCCACCCACCCACCTCCCAGAGCTTTAGCTCTGATTCCTTTCCTCCAAAGGTCTTACTGCTAATTTCCTCCCCTCCTCCCTCCCTCCCTTCCTCCCTTCCAGGCCTTCCCTCTCACCTCCTACGTAAAACCTGACCGACTACCTGTTTATAGTTTAAACCCCCACACCCAGAGTTTCTGAACCCCTTATCTTCTCTACTTTATTTTTAAATAACCCTTACCACCTTTTAACTTACTAAGTAATATAAGTGATTATTAAATATTTGGTCAATGAATATTTGGTCATTGAAGTTCAAGTATCCTTTGCTGTTCTTTACTTTTGTTCTTTCACAGTTGTTAGTAACCATGCACTAGTGTGCAGAAATTCTTCAGAAATATAAACACTTGCTTTTCTTAATTTTTAAATTTTCTGCCATAAGAGGTATTTTCTTTTTCTCCATATCTACCAAGTATTAACAATTGCTGCCTTTAACTTTGAGATTGTCCTTAATTTTTAACAAGTGACTTAGTATGTTCTAGCTTAGCGGGGAGGCAGAATTGGGCTAGAGGGAAAAAACACCTAGAGCTCTGAGCTCAGTAACGTCTGGCCTTACTGAGTTCTCAGATTTGTTGGGAGCATAAAATAAGAAGGCAAGCAAGAAAGCTTCTTGAAGAAGTTAAAAATTGCTACAAAAACAGAGTATTATCACCCTTTAAACTACTGCATATCATATAGTTAAATTTTGACTATTCAGAATTCAGTTTAATGGAATCTTAATATAGCAAGAAAGATTATTCAGGAGTAATGAGCAGTATCGAGCTAATATGAAGACTGGCATTTCTTCAAGAGAGTTTATTATTTTAAAAGCTTTTAGTGTCTTGAAGTAGAGGGTATATTAAAGGCTTTACTGTTTCAGAATATTATAACCAGAATTATCAACAAATCGCTCCTCAGGAAAATGGTTATTTAAACTTTGAAGTCTTATGTTCAGACCCTTACTTTATCCTAAAAAATTTTGAACTATGAACTATGATTTTTTAATTCAAAAATTAGAGTTGCTGTGGGAGTGGAGAATTATCCTTAAATTGTTAAAATTGTAGAAAGGTCTATGTCATAAGCACTGATAAAATTACAACCTGGTGGGGCTGAATTTGTCATATATCATGTGTCATATATCTTAAGTCACAGAAAATACTTCAACACGCTGTCTTTCCCTTGTAGGAAGATACGTTTCAGCAGTATGTGAGACCAGAGATTAACACACAACTTTCTGATTTCTGCATCAATCTAACTGGAATTACTCAGGTTCTAATTCTATGTTCCTTTTCTTGCAGTTAGAGGTTTTAAAATTAGGCATTTTTTTTCATAGTGGTAAGACATATTTTACTATTATTATTGTAACAGTTAATGTGATAGTCTCCTTGCTCGATAATTGTAGTCCTTAAAATATGGAAAAGCGAATTTTTTTTCACTTAGTAAAATCTTCCTCAGTCTTTCCTTTTAAGGAGCTTTAATGATCTTAGGTTTCAATTGTTTGGATTGATAGTAAAGTAAGTGTTATCATGCTGAACTTGGAGATGATTTTTAAAATGTTCCTGTTTACAACCTGACTCTGTCCATAGCTTAATTATTTTGTTTTAGGCCTCTGGTTTTTGGTTGTATTCTAATGTGGGAGGCCCTTTGTTCATGTATTTAGGTCCTTTATTCATTCATTCACTCATCAAATATTTGAGTGCCTACTACAATATTTGCTAAGCTACTAGGAATGCAAAGGTTAAGTCAGTATCTCATCTCTGCTCACTTAACAGTCTGAATTCAGGAGGACAGACAGAATAAACTAGTGGTGGCAAGGGGTTTACGAAGACTGACAAATAAGTCAGTGTTTTTTGCGGGTATTATGGGCATCTATAAAAAAGGCTTATTGTGACAGAGGAAATGGAGGGCTGTCCTGGGAAGAAGTTCCTCCAGTTGGAGAACTTGGGCTGAATCATGATAGGCAAATAGGCAGAAAAGAGGGACTGGCCATTTTAGGTGTGAATGGCTAAACTGAAAGCAGTTCAGAGTGGTTCAAGTATGTATGGGCTGGTAAGAAAATGGTCGAAAATAAAGCTAATGTGGGAGCAGAGGCAAGCCAGATCATGAGAAGTCTTGTGTGTCTTTTTATCCTGAAAGCTTCGGGAAGTGTTGGAGGATTTTCAGCAGGAAAGTGATGTGATGGACCAGATTTACATTTTAAGAAGATTCTGGTAGCAGTGTGTAGTAGTATGTTGTGGAAAGACGTGAGCTTCCAGATAGCTAGGCCACTTCTGAGAGCTGTAGCTTTCAGCTGAGAAGGAATTGTCTTTTGCTCCCTTTGGGACAATCAGGAAGCCACTAGGTTGATGCCTAAAAAAAAGAGAATCACTGGCTTAAAATTTAATTTGGGGATGACTATATACTTCATCTGAAAATAGTCCCTAATATTTGGCTATAAACAATTTTTAATTGTCTTAAAAATGAAATGGTAGGTGGATCTCAGCTGAGGAAATCATGAAATGTTTAAAATATCACAGAGAAGACTTTCTCATACTGTTCTTTTCCTTCTATTGTTTATGTCTGAATGCTTTGTAGGATTGCATGTAGCTCCTCTGATTTTTCTGTATTTTGCTTTTATATCCTCAGGATCAGGTAGACAGAGCTGATACCTTCCCTCTGGTACTAAAGAAAGTAATTGACTGGATGAAATTGAAGGAATTAGGAACAAAATATAAATACTCTATATTAACAGATGGGTGAGTATTTAGGAGAATTATCTTTTTAATCTACTTTTTAAGATTAAAGATGTCCTTATTTAACTGTTGGAATGAGCACAAAATATATTCTTTACTAACAGTCCTAGAGTTCCCCACAGGAGACAGTATTTTTCCTTTAACATTCTTATTCCCAGTTAAATTTTGAATCCTAGGGTTCAAAGAGAGGAAGGAAAGTGATGATAATGGTCTCATGCAGGACTCGAGAAAGATAAATATTGAAATGCAAAACTAAAATGACTTCAATAAAATTCTATCATGCTACTTCCTCGCTTAAAAAAGTCTGAACCCCTCAGTCTGGCTTTCCAGGTCTCTTGTCTAATCCCTGCTTCCTGTGTAGCCTAATCCACCTGCCAAGGTTCTTTTTCACTCTGGTCAGGCTTGCCCACTAGTCACAAGTTTATCCTTTCTCTGTGTACTCAACGCTTTCCTCTCTGCTGGAGGCTCTCTTCCTTGACTGCTGCTTCATTGCTCTTCCCCACCTTGTGTTTTATTCCAGATACTACAACTCACATTGTCTTTTTTCCCCTTGGCATCTTAATAGCCTCTGTGATACATACCATTCATGTTGGTATCTGACTAAATATTCTGGTATCTAAACTTTATGTATGTAAGACTTGTGTTTGCAAGGAGGTTAGAAATCCTTCCAGAGTAAGCTTTTGGTTCATGATAATGTTCCTTAATGCTTATTGTAGTGTATGCTTAAAAACATCTGTGCAATGAATAGGTAAGTGGGAAGATCAGAGAGGTTATAGGCATTGTGCCAGGGCAGCTCCTGTGCCGTATGCTACTAAAGTTGAAGAAGGAAGTCCTAATCAATTTCTGTTTCAAATTGTGCACAGATTGTACACTAAAGCTGAGATGTCACCTACACAGAGGTTTAGAGACCCTCACATACAATAGGAAAAGAGCATTGGATTTAATCACATTGTAATTGTGTTTAAAACTAGAAGTTTAGAAAAATGTTGATAGACCTCTTAGAAATCCATTGACTTTACACATGGATGAGTAAGTGTTCTTGCTAAGGTATGTGCGCATTTCTGTCATAACACCGTGTGCAATTCTATAAAGACCTCACACTCTAGGGTACATCATTCAAAACTTAATGTAATTTCATAACCAGAGTACTAAATAAAATGATAATTGATGCTTCCAGAAGTAATTTGGACGGCCCAGGCAAACAGCTCAGGGTAGGTGGAAGTTACCTCAGAGGATATTACAAGTGCATAGAAGCGATCGGGTCCTGGAGACAGGCACTTGTTTTTAATTTCCTCAAAACACCCCTAAACATATTCCCATCACCATTACAGCAGCTGATTGAGAGCTTTTTCCTTTCCTACTGAAGGTTATAGTTTCTACCGCTATTAATCTGACTCCCTTTGCCTGTATGTAGGGGCATACAACTGTGTGTGAGTCAATACAATTTCCATATTACACAGTCAGTGACCTTTTACCTAACTACCTAAGTTGATTAGTGATGTAGAAACATAAACTGTAACAGAACAAATTGTATTCTTGATACCAACGACTTTTGTCTCTTTCAAGTATTTTACTCTTTTCTTTTTTTTTTTTTTTTTCAAAGCACAGTCTCAACGAACTTACTAATGTGATCAACCTGGCATTAAAAGTAAGCTTAGCAGAGTTCTTTTAGAACTACCAAAAAAAATAAGACAATACAGTTCTGCCCAGGTAATTAGAACCATAAAAATGATCATGATAAGCCTAATAAGAATTAATCAGTTTGTGAAAAAAATTGAATGTATCTGACTTCTTTTGTTTAATTTTAAAGTTTATTTTTGGATTAGTATTTTGAAAGAAAAAAGGTTCATTTTCCAAGCTTGATGTTAGGTGTGATTGTACATATGTAAATAAAAAACAAATAGAATGGTGGAAAATACTTACTTGTAAAAAGAGTTTAGCATTTATTTTGTCCTTTTTTCACCCCTCTTTTTTGATTTATAAGTTCATGGGATATGAGTAAGTTTCTGAATATTCAGTGCCGGTTAAGCAGGCTCAGATATCCTCCTTTTGCTAAAAAGTGGATCAACATTCGAAAGTCGTATGGGAACTTCTACAAGGTAAAATTTCTATATTTTATTCATTATACTGCTCTTCATAAATTTATTATATTTTGCTTGTACATTAAGTTGTGATTTACTAAGTGATTTTTACAGGAAAAGGTCAAATAATTTGTTAGTTTTCAGATTCCTAATGAATTATTCATACAAGTTTAGAAAGATAAGGTGTTTTTATTTTACCTTGTTACCATTATTTACATAGGTTAACTATACATACCTGATCTTCAGTAATAGACATTTGAAATTATAGGGGCATACAATGTATGGATTATTTGTAGAATAAATGTCCCCCACTGAATTTTCACTTTATCAAAGTTAATACATGTGTGTAGTATAAATTTTTAAAATAGTATTGCAAGTCTTCTAACAAATGGCGGTCTTCCACCATGGCCCTCAGCAGTACTGGGCCATCTTCTCCTCAGCAGACACTTGCAGCTTTTATTTATTCTAAGGATAATGAGTAATGATTAGTAAAACCGTAAAATAATTTTCAAGTCTGCATAAAAACATGTACAGCTCATAGTACATTAGAGTAGTCAGAAAGTTGTAGATATATTAAGGTAAAAAAAAATCACCAGTGTTCTTCAGGATAGAGAATATTTTTCTGTGAGTATGTTTATGTTGGCCAGTTTATAAGGATGCTCTTTTCTGTGTGTTTTTCTCTTCTTTGTAACAGATAACCAACTGTAATGTCAATTACTGCAGGTCACGGAAACTTGTAAACTTGAAAATTTTTCCTTCTCCTCCTTTTTTTTTTTTTGGTTTGCCTTAACCAAGTAGGCCTAAAGTCTTGTCACATAGTTCTATATACATTGCTAACAATGTATGGTCTTTTCTGTATGGTATGGATAAAGTATTCCTTTCTCCTTTTGAAAGCTAAAAATGACTTTTTACACTATCTTTTTTGAGAGTGGAGATTGGAGATAGATCATTAAATATGAAATTAATCTTTCCTTTTCATAAATTTGAAAACCCTTTAAGGCAAACATAATACTTTTTTGTTAAATAACTAGCCTAGATTTAAAATAGGGCTTGCTTTTTCTCTAAGTAGGCTGATAAAATGTGAATAAAAAGAGCCAAAGACACAATTTTATATAAGATTTTTAAAAACAAAAAATTTTTATTTTATTGGCATGATCAGACTCAAATATAGGTTTATTATTTACAAAATTATACAATTGTGTTAGTTTCTTCATTTCTCTTATAGTTCTATATGTGCATTAAAGTTGCTTTTGAAGTAAAAGTAAAGGATGAAATCAACCTCTTTCAGATGAAACCTGTGTTTTGCTCCTTTGTATTTGGTTTTTCCTATACAAATACTCAATTCTTGCTTAGATGAGATAAGTTCACATGAATTTCATTTTCCACTGAAATTAAATAAATTCTACCCTTGCTCTTCGTATTATTAAATAAGAAAAAGTTTGCTTACCCAGGTAAAAAGTTGGAGACTGCAGTGAAATGTTCATTGCTTTTGTGCAAATGACAGGACCCTCTTCTTTTGCAGAAATCCACAACTTTTCTAGAGGCAGGTCAATAAGTCTCATCTCCTATGTATGACCAGACTATTCCTTACAAAAGTTCTTTTCTCAAAGTCAAATTCTCTAGCCGAACAGAAGATTCAGAGAAAGGGTCCTTTTTACCTAGTCACACTCTGGTATTGAAAGGGAGGAGAAATGCTGTCTGATTCTCCCCAGTTTTTCCAGATGACTTTCAGCAAGCCTTGAGACTTGCTGGCCTCTCTGTCACTCCCAAGCAAAAGCATGAACACTTAAGACTTCGTGTTGCAATGTGTTGCAAAGACTCAGTTTCCTTTGAAATCTAAGAATCTTGTTGCTAGAAGCCAAATGCTTTCTCGAAGTTCTTACGTGACTTGTTCATTTGGTTTCTGTGATGAAAATGTGTGCTAAGAGGCTAGATTTGCAGGTCTTCTTCAGATCACTCAGGAAAACCTGACATACAGTTTTCTACCATTCCCAGTTTTCGTACCATTTGCTTTTCAAGTTAGACACTTGCTGAGAATGTTTTCTTGCTAGACCAGAGGAAGCATGAGGTTTATATGTTCTTCATCCAGGTTTTCAGTTTTAAAATCTTAAACATGATTGAGTGAACTGGCCTTTGCTTATTAGAGTTGACCATTTTTCTAGCACTATCTAAGACTTTTTATGTTATCTCTGAGTTTTTTTTATTGTAAAATATATGTAACATAAAATTTACCATTTTCACCATATTTAAGTGTACAATTTAGTGTCATCGGGAACATTCATGTTTTACAGCCATCACCACCATCCAGTTCCAGAACTTTTTCATCTTCCAAAACTGAAACTCTGTACCCTTTGAACAAATTCCCTAATCCCCTTTCTTCCAGCCCCAGGTAGTCATTCTGTTCTCTATAAATTGTACTACTTTAGGTACCTCATTTAAGTGGAATCCTAGAGTATTTGTCGTTTTGTGACTGACTGACTTCATTTAACATAATATCTTCAAGGTTTATACATGTAGCATGTATCAGAATTTCCTCCCTTTATAAGGCTAAATAATACTCCATTGTTTAAGAATTTCCTTCCTTTTGAAGGCCAAGTGATATTCCATTGTATTTATAGATCATATTTCGTTTATCCATTCACCTGTTGATGGACACTTGGGTTGCTTCCCACCTCTTGGCTATTTTGAACAGTGCTCAAATGAACATAGGTGTGTAAATATCTGTTTAGTCCCTGTTTTCAGTTCTTTGGGTTTATACCTAGAAGTGGAATTGCTGGATCATATGGTAATTCAGTGTTAATTTTTTGAGGAATTTCCATACTGTTTCCTATAGTAGCTGCACCGTTTTACATTCCCACCAGCAATTCATGAGGATTCCAGTTCCTCACATCCTCACCAACATTTGTTGTTTTCTGTTTATGTTTGTTAAAGTGGAGCAGGTATTTAAATAGGTTGAAAAATACCTTGTGGCATTGTATTTCATTCTTTTATCTTCTTTATCTCTAATCATCTAGAAAGGCTAAATATTTTTTGGTGTATCTGTCTAAGTAGTCAGTCAAATAAAATAATGCATTACAGGAAAATACCATTCAAGAAACGTTTTGATCAAAATGATAGAGCTTCAACTTAGATGTCTAGAACAATACATTTCCTTTTGAAAAGTATGTATTAAAGTATAAAACTGAAGACTTTTTAGATGTCTTGAGGATTCCATCTGTTTAAATATATTCTCATCTAAAACTCTTAAGGTCATTTATTTAAAACGCTGAAGGTTTGAGTTATTGCTACATTTGATGAGTATTTACCCTTTAATGTTACTTAGTTATTACTGTGAATTTTGTTTCTCATTTTTCTATTTCACAATGACTTTTTGAATACTAAAGAATTATTTACTAAGCTGTTTATATTTCAGGTTCCTAGAAGCCAAACCAAACTGACAATAATGCTTGAAAAACTTGGAATGGATTATGATGGGCGGCCTCACAGTGGTCTTGATGACTCTAAGAACATTGCCCGAATAGCAGTTCGAATGCTTCAAGATGGATGTGAACTCCGAATTAATGAGAAAATGCATGCGGGACAGCTAATGAGTGTGTCCTCGTCATTACCGATAGAGGGCACTCCAGCTCCACAAATGCCACATTCTAAAAAATAGCAACATTTTTTTCCCTTTGCCGGTGGATCATTTACTCTAAGTGGAGTTGCTACAAAGAGGTAGCCGATGAATACTTACTGAATTAGTCCTGCAGTGCAAAATTTATGCACCTTAAACACTTAAAATCTTACTACACTTACGCATATATACATATATGTATATGGACAGAGTCCGTGGGGAGGGCTGTTGAATTCTTTGTCACCAGCACTTTTGATAAGAGCAATATTTGTTACACAGTAACTGTCCCTGCTTAGAACTATATTACTACATTTTATAGTTTAAGTGGCCAAATGTGTTCCCTTTGATTTTAAAATGCAAAGGTTTATTGGCTCTCCCCTTGAATGTCATATTTTATTGGTTTTAAAATATATAATGTATTTCTACATTAACATCATTAGATCAAATCATTTCTTGAAATGCAGAAAAGATTGGAAGGTGCGCCTTATTTAGCATTTGGGTTCTAAGAATACCATTTTGATTTTTGAAGTTTACGTATGAAATTCGGCTGTGTGTAGTGAATTTCATCAATTGCTTGGTATAATAATCTGCCTACATTTCTTTTTTCATAATTGGAAGACTTGTGATAGATTATGGGGTCTTGTTAAAAATTCAGTTACTAGTGAGATTAATGGACAGTCAGAAGAAAATATCATTTAAAGGAATATAAGGGCTGTAGCTTGAGTTTTATAATACATAGAAAAACTAGTGAGGTTTTTTTGGTCTTCCTCCCCCTTGTGTGTGTGTGTGTGTGTGTGTGTGTGTGTGTGTGTGTGTGTGTGTGTCTGCCTTAATTTTTAAATTTCAGAGACCATGCTTTGAAATAGATGTAAAATTAAGGGTCAGCACTTAATTTTGCATTTGTATTCAATATAAGTGAGGTTAATAAAGTCAAATAATGCTTTCTACTATATCTGACATTTTTATTATTAAAAACTGAATTTATGTAGTGAGTGACCACTGAATGTTAAGTTGTTCTTAACTAATTCTAAAAATAAAAAATATATTTACAAAGTTGAGAAAGTAAAACTCTTCATATCTAGAAACTGAAAATCCAAATTTTCACAATTGAATTTTCCCAGAGAGCTTTCATGGAACAATCTGCTGATTTTCTTTTACTTTCTAATAATAACTGTGATGCTGCTTTAATGAATTTTATAGGATTTTTCCAATGCTGAGGCATAGGAGAAAAGTAGGCATTTTTCTTGGTATGAGAAGTCTCTACACAGTGCTGTAGGTTTCTTACTTGAAAGAATTTCTGCCTTAGAATTGGTATAATAAAGACTTAACAAGTGGCCAACAGAAGGCACAAGGGTAGACAAATTGATACGGAATATAGTGAAGCAGGAAATTGAGCTATTTTAGGTTTGTACGGTAAAATCTTGGGGTGAGGCAGACATCTCTGAGATTTTTGTGAATCCCAAATTGTACCATATAACATACCATAAAATATTGCTGAAAGTTTTCAAGAATTTCCTTCAAGTCCTTATTGAGTTACTATACCAGGGCAGAGGAACAGAGAATAGCACATTACTTATTGAGGTGTGGATGCCTGGAGGTCCACTAGGCACACTCCTTAGGTGATTTCCCACAGAGTCACCTTACTGTAGAATTCAAAGTCCTGCTCTAGCCAAAGAGTAGTGATTTCTCCCCAGCTTCTAGAATTGCTCATAAACAGCTAAAGTTGCAATTGGGAAATCTGAGGTTGCCAAAGAACTACTACATTGCCATCTTGTTTGGTTTGTTTTTAAGTTAAGCTGCTAATTTCTTTGCCTATGTTTCTTTTTGCCAGGTATCCAAGTACCAACAAACTCATTTTGTGTTTCTTTTTTAAGACTTTCAGCATTATAAGCTCTCAGTATCTGTAGATCAACCAAATCCTTTATCTGTTAATGTTTTATAGCTGGTGATGCTTTACCCTTTTTTGTTTTTTAACTTTATTGAGGAATAATTGATGACTATAATTCTATATATGTAGGTGTGTGATGATTTATACATTGTGGAATGATTAACAAGATAAAGATAATTAACAAATACATCACCTCATATAGCTGATTCGTTTTTGGTGTTGGTGAGAATGCTTAGGGCCTATTCTCAGCAACTTTCACCTGTATAATGTCATGATTAACCATAGTCACCATGTACATTAGATCTTACTCATAACTGAAAATCTGTGCCCATTGACCTACATCCCTCTTTTCCCCCCCATCCCCACCCCTTGGCAACCACCCTTCTATTCTGTTTCTATGAAAACTGGCTTTTTTTTTTTTGATCCCACATTTAAGTCAAACCGTACAGTGTTTCTCTTTCTCCGTGTGGCTTATTTCACTTAGCTCTCCAGGTTAATTCACATTTGTTGCAAATGGTAGGACTTCCTTCTTTTTTATGGCTGATTAATATTCTATTATATATATGTACACAATTTTTATTTGTTTCAAGATATTTTTTGAGTTCTCTTAATTTTTTCTTTGATCCATTGTTTTCTCTGAAGTGTTTTGTTTAATTTCTACATATTTGTGAACTTCATAGCTTTCCTCCTGTTACTGATTTCTAGTATCATGCCGTTGTAGTCAGAAAAGATACTTGATATGATTTCAATCTTAAATCTGTTGAGATTTATTTTGTGGCCTAACATATGACCTTCCTGGAGAATGTTCCATGTGTGCTAGAGAAGAATGTGTGTTCTGCTATTGAACTGAATATTCCGTTTTTGTCTATTAGGTCCGTTTGGTGTAAAGTATCATTCAAGTCCATTATTTCCTTATTGATTTTCTGCCTAGATGACTTATCCACTGTTGAAAGTGGGGTATTGAAGTCCTCCACTTTTTATTGCATTGCTGCCTATTTTTGCCTTCAGATCTGTTGAGTTTAATGTGTTTCAGTGCTTCCATATTGGGGATGTATGTATTTATATTTATTATATCGCCTTGATGAATTGACCTTTTTATTATATTATATAATCATTATCTTGGTCTCTTGCTACAGCTTTTGAGTTAAAGTCTATTTTGTCTGAAAGAGGTAGAGGTACCCCTGCTCTTTTCTGTTTTCCACTTGCAGGGAGTACCTTTATCCTTTCACTTTCAGCCTATGCTTGTACTTTAAGCTTAAATGATTCTCTTACCGGCAGCATATAGTTAGGTCTTGTTTTTATATCCATGCAGCCACTCACTGTCTTTTAATTGGGGAATTTAAACCATTTACATTTAGGGTAATTATTGCTAGGTAAGAATTGTTATCTCCATTTTGTTAATTCCTTTTTGATTGTTTTATACAGTTGACCTTTGAACAAAGCAGGGGTTAGAGGTGTCGATTCCCCATGCAGTCGAAAATCTGTGTATGACTTTTGACTCCCCCAAGATGATAACAAATAACCTACTTCAGATGCAACAAAGAGCAGAAAAGAAATGGGAGGGACTTAGGGTCCAAAAAAGAGAAGAGAGCAAGCAGAGGGTGACTTAGCTGCTTTATTTGTTCTGCCAGGGTTGACACCTGCCTGCAGATGCAGGCTGGAAGGAGCAAACTTCATATGAGCACAAGTTTCCTGCCTCCTTCCTCTGAGTTGCCTGGCCCAGGCCTTGGCTTTTCTGCTCCTCTCTGTGCCAGCATTTCTCTCTTGTCTTAACAGCTGTGACTTGAAATTCACCTTTGTCTTGACTCCCTTGTCACGGAATTAGTGGTGAGGGATCAGAGCTGTCAGGAGGGGCAGTCCCAACAGTCCTTTCAACCCTGCAGACACCAAGTGTTCCATAAGTTGCTCTTGCCCTGTGTCTTTTCCATGTGTGGAATCAGAGGCTTAGGAGGTACAGCTACAGATTCAGGGTCATAGTGACTCAGAAACTACCCTAAGGCCAGTTGGTGAGAAGGTGCAAGTTTCCAGGTCCCAAAGCCTCTAGGAAGAGCTGACCCTCCCAGAATGCTTTATAGGAGCAGAAAATACACACTCTGTGCATGGAAGCCAGGTCCCCGATGTGGTTCTCTGGTCAGTTCTGTGGTGTCTGCCACCATCTCAGGCTTGGAGCAGCTTTGCATTTGCCCTGGGGTCTTCTCCGAGTACTGGGGACAAGCCCTGCTGGGGACACTTATCTGAGTCTTCTTCAGTCAATTTAAACAAGACTGTATTTTCCCAGGGAGGAGAATGGTTCACCCATGCGTGCAGCTGGGATTTCTCTTCTCTCTTTCTTTACAGAAAAAGACAACACTTCTTAACCTTTTGTAAAGAAAAATACCAGATACCTGTAGTTGGATATGGCTTTAAGATGTGCAAGTAACAGGCCTCTTCAGAGAGCCACTGGTTAGCTAGTAGGTTAGAGTGTGGTGCAGATAATGCCAGGGTTGTGGGTTCAATCCACATATGAGCCACTATGTACATTTTTCCTTTTCCATTTATATCAACTACATCACCCATGGAATCTGCTGCCTTATATCCAATTACAGACACTGTATACTTGTTATAAAAAAAATCTGCATCTAAGTGGACCTGTGCCATTCACACCCATGTTGTTTAAGGGTTGACTGTAGTATCTTCATTCCTCTTTCTTTATGAGTGGATGATTTTTTGTAATGGTATGTTTTGATTCTTTTCTCTATGTCAATTGTGTATTTATTAGAGGTTCTTGCTTTGTGATTACCATGAGACTTTCATAATACATCTTACAGTTACCACAGTCTACTTTGAGCAATCTAACATAACCTCACTTGCATGAGAAGAGCTCCATACATTTACTTGCCCCCCACCAACATTTATGTTGTTGGTGTTCCATTTTACATTTTTTAGTATTGTGCATCCATTAAAAAAGTATTGTAGCTGTAGTTTTTTTCAGCACTTTTGTCTTTTAGCCTACACACTAGAGTTTATAGTGATTTACACACTACCATTGCAGTGTCAGAGTATTTTGAATTTGAGCATATATTTACCAGTAAATCTTATATTTTTAATATGTCTTCATGTTGCTAATTAGCATCCTTTCACTTAAGGTTGAAGAACTCTAACATTTCTCTTTATGCAGGCCTAGGGGTGATAAATTCCCTTAGTTTTTGTTTGGGGAGGTCTGTATCTCTTCTTCATTTCTGAAGAAAACTGTTGCAGTAAAATAAGTATTCTCGGTTCACAGTTTTCCTTTGAGCACTTGGAATATATCATCCCGCTCCCTCCTGGTCTGCAAGGTTTCTGCTGAGAAATCTGCTCCTAGTCTTGTCAGAGTTCCCTTTTATGTACTGAGTCTTCTTTCTCTTGCTGCTTTCAAAATTCTTTTTTCTTTCATGTTTGAAATCTTCATTATAATGTGTCATAGTGAAGATCTGTTTGGATTTAATCTGTTGGGGATCTTTGAGCTTCACATGCCTGGATGGCCATATCTCTCCCCAGATTTGGGATATTTTTAGCCATTATTTCTTCAAATAAGTTTTCTGTCTTTTTCTGTCTCACTCCCATTAGCACAGATATTGTCCCATAATTCATTTAAGTTGTCTTCACTATTTTTTTATTCTAATTTTTATATCCTCTGACTGGTTAATAGCAAGAGATCTGTCTTCAAGTTTGCAGATTCTGCTTGATCAAGCCTGCTGTTGAAACTCTCTCTTTTTTTCTTTGCCCATGGGGATCCCTCTTGGCACTTGGTCTGGTGTGCTGGCACTCAGCGGAGTAGAGCTGGGTCCTGGGACCAGATACGCATGGAATCACCGTGGTGCCTGGGTCCTCGGGCATGGGTATACTTGTGGCATCAGTGATGGAGGGTTGGAGGTGCGGGTGTGTGCAGGTCTCCTGTAGAACTCGGGTCTGGGTCTCTGGACTTGTCTCAGTGACTTGGGCAGTGTCATGGGTAACGAGACAGCAGTGGCACAGGCCCAGGGTGACCATGCCATGGTAGCTCTGCAAGAACAATAGCAGCACAGCCTAGGCATAGGCTGAAGGTCCAACCCTCTCCCTAGGGAGCAGTTTCAGAATAGCAGCAGCATGTTCTCGATGGAGGCCTTTTAAAACCATGTATTGGGACCCACAGGGAAGGTTACAGAACAGCAGGAGCTCAGCCCCTACAATTAGGGGTCAGAACTGTGACCCAGGACAGGGCTGGGGAGGGCCCAGAGCAGTGGCAGCACAGCCCTGGTAATGGCAGTCAGAGTATAACCTGGGACTTGTAGGGCAGGGCTTGGGGCAGCTGGAGAGTCTAGTGGTGGTGGGACAGAGTTGTGACCTGGGACTGGGGGCGGGGCTCAGAGCAGTGGTAGCCCTGGTCTTGTGTGTGCCAAGATGCTGTGGCATCATCTCAGAGATTGGGGCACAGCAGCAACCGGGGCCCCAGGGGGTAGGTCTCCCTGCAGCAGTGGGGTCCCCGGGCAGTTCCGTCAGCTGGGATCAGCATTGGTGAAGGCTGTGGGGTCCACTGCAGCAAAGGCTGCAAGTGTCCATAGCAGGAGACTCATTGGGGTTCTCCAGCTCTTCTTCCCCATGGGGTAAAATTGCTCTGAGAGGATCCCTCCTGGCACCGAGTTGCTCTCGACCAGGAGATGAGGGAAACACAGCTAAAATGTTTCCTGTGCTTTTCTGTGTGACTATCTTTGGGTTTTGAGCTCTGCAGGGTTTCACTGCTGTTTCACTGTAGTCAGAGCTTTCCCTGTTTTAGGGAAACAGAGCTTTCATTACTTGTGTTGGTGTGTAGCTGTTTATTGTTTGTAGTGGGGAGATGAGCATTGGGACTTCCTAGCCTCCAGCTTGCTGGTGCCGCCGCCTGACTCATTGTTAGTTGCTTCTTTGGGTCTCTGCTCTCCCCTCCAGTGTGATACTCCTCATATCAATGGACATTTTTTGGATTTTGCTGGGACTAATCATGACATTCTGAGGAGATGGTATTAAACATCTCTAGATGATAATAAACAGTAGAGCGCTGCTTTCTACTTTCTGATTTTGTTGTGTTCTGTTGTCTTTAAGGTATTCAGAACTGTTAATTCTTGCAAGGAAAATGGTTCAGAGACAAATGCCATTTAGTATTCTAGAAAATCAACAATATTAGTAATATTTTGTCAGTTTTTATTTTTCATTAATTATATATACTATATAATCTAACAATAATACTTTTTAATATTTATTATTTACAAACGAGCTTTTGTTTTTTCCTTAATCATTAGCTGTGTTAATTTCTTTGCTTTCTACCTTTCATAATATGACATGTTGAATATTGGGTTCTGCTGTATTATTTCAAATCTATGATCTTTAGAACCAACTGA